TTTTTTTTTCTTTTCTTTTCTTTTCTTTTCTTTTTTTCTTTTCTTTTCTTTTCTTTTCTTTTCTTTTCTTTTCTTTTCTTTTCTTTTCTTTTCTTTTTTTTGGTCCGGGGATTAGCGTCATTAAGCGTGTTGGCATGTCGAAAGTGGCCGGTTTCGCTTTCTTCCGCCGCCTGCGAGGTCTCCCTGCCCACAGCTGCCCCGGGACGTTCCTCCCGCAGCCCAGCTCTGCCCGGTGCAGCCCGGTGCAGCCCGGCGCTTCGCCGTCCCCGGGAGCCCGCTCCGGCAGTCCCGCTTCATGGGCACGGATGAGCTCCCACCAGGAGAGTTATCGCTATCATCAGTGCCGAGCAATTAATCAATCAATCAATCAAACAAGCAAACAAACGAAATGGCAATTCGGTGAGGTGCTGGGATGTCCGGGATCACCTCCGGACCCTTGGTCTCACTAAGGATTGCAGGTCTCTCAAGCGCTCCTGAAAATGGTACAGTAATTCCACTGTATATGAAATGCGTTGTGGTACTTCATATCTTTCTCGCTTCCAATTTACTTCCGAGGAAAAGGAAACGTGTTCCCAGTTTCCAATGAAGCACGACTCTATGCCAGGCTTTTTATTTCAGGCACAGGTCTCACTGTTTTTCTTTTCTTTCTTTTTTTTTTTCTTTTTTTTTTCTTTTTTTTTTCAGAACTTATTGGGAAGGGATTGCCCTATTGCTCTGCAGAGGTAAAGTCGCTATAAACACTATCCCTGCGTCCGTTTTTGCTATAATGCCTCAGTCCATACCTATCATTCTGCAACATGAACCACAACTAAATGGCTCTGCTGCCCCGCCGAGCCTACGCTGCCCAGAATAATCCCCCCAGATAAAGATCACAATAACCCCATTCAGTTCCCACCCACTTGCTCGTGACCATCAGCCCACCCTGGTTTCTCACCCGAATCCAGAGAAAAGTCAGGATTTGTGGCTGCCCAAAGGCCACAGCTCCAGGCCAAGGGAGAGGTGGGGGACGAGTAGAGTTAAAATCCATGGCTGCTTATGGTGATGCTGTTGGCCACACTCCGAAATGATCCTCAATGTATTGAGAAAGTAAAGCTAAAGGCCAAGAGATGCTTTTTAACAACAGTGGTGAAGTTGCAGGTGAATTAACCAAATTATCTGAATTTGCCACAACAAGCGGTGTGAGAATTGGATGAGTTTTTTTCACTCATTTTTTTTTCTCCCTGGAAAATAGGGTTTTGAACCAGTGTGAAAAGTGACAGAACATGTCTGCTTTGCTCGAAATTTGGGTGTTATATTCGATAAGTCCATTCCCACTGCCAAAACCCTAATCTTTGTTCCTATTCACACTTACTGGGGGCTGAAATAAGAAACACATTTTTTTTTTTTTTCGACAAAAAGTCAAAATTTCCCATGGGAATATTTTTTTTCCCTAGACAGATATAGTTTTTCTTTATCATTTCTTGCTGCCTGCAAATGCCTGGGCACGGTACATGGAAAGGATGGGGTCTGGCTCAGGGAAATGATTCCCAGGGACCTGATCCTGGGAAAGGATCCTGGTCAGCAGAGCTTTTCACTGATAGAGATTCTCATCAACTTCACCTGGCAAAAAACTTATCCCAGAGGGTTTAGGCTAGCAGTCTGGCTCTGGCAGAGTGCCTGGGAGCTAACGTGCCCGGGGAGGACACAACTTGGAGGCAAGCTGTTGCAATCGCTCAGTATAGTCAGCTGGGATGGAGGGTCTCTCCTCCAGCCTCTGTCTCTCCTGCATGGACGCCCTGCAGCCTCGGGTCTGCTCTGTTTAGATCTGGGTCGGCCTAACCTAAGCTCCATGTTTCCAACATGTCTTATCCTGACGAAGCTTCCAGATCTCTCTCTCTCTTTATTTTTTTTTTAGAGGAAACTGCTGAGATAAAAAAAAAATCCAGAAAGTCTTTAGAGCCCAGGGAGCTTCTGTAAACACATGAAAATGTAGCCAGGGACCTGAGCTTTGAGCAGATTTAGCATCATCAGTAAATTGCAATCAATGCTGTTCCCCAGCTTTCCATGAGCCATGGTATTATTTTGAGTGCTAGAAATAAGCACAGATGTGAACTGCCGCAGAACGCTTTTAAAAACTCCCTTTAGGTTGCATTAAATACTTCTGCATTTGCGTTGGCCAGGGAAAGCGCTACCAGATAAACAGGCACTGCCGTTCACTGCTAGGCATTTTGAGAGCGACCTCGAGGCTCTGTTCCCAGTGCATTTCTGGGAACATCTCGGGCATTTCTGCACCGCTTCCCCACGGGGACAGGAGATGTGCCTGGCACCTGCACATTTTCCTGATAACAGTGGTGCTTCCAGGTGCTCCAATTTTGGCCTTGCATTATGCCTAGAGAGTGTTTAACAATAACAAGTTGAATTACTGGGAGAAAAAAAGGAAACATACTGTGTTTTCAGATATGGCATTTGGCACAAGGGATGGGTGGATCCCAGTGTTAGGCAGGGGCTGTGCTGTGTGCTGCAGGAGCATTTCCAGGCCTGGGCTGCTCTGATGCCAGAGCAATTTGCTAGCAATTCTCTCCCCCAGCTCAAAAACTCCATCGCAGGCTGAAGGGACCAGTAACAACTGCGGAGCAGACTGCCAAACCCTTCTAATGAAAAGCTTCCTCCCAGGCAAACCTGGGGCTGGAGCTTTCCCATCTCCGTGGCAGTTCGGGGAGAGATTCGCAAGGCAGTGTTAACTAAAGCAGCTGTTGGGCTCCTCTCCATCCTCACCGCAATCAAGGAAACCAAATCCTTCCAGGAGCGCAGCGTGCAGCCCGGCTGCGCCACGGCACAGTGCTTTTTTTGCTCCGCTCCTGCAGAGGGATCTAGGGGCTGTAGGATTTTCTCTCCGGGAATTCTTGGTGTCCCTTATTAAGCCTTGGTAATCCTGATTCTTTAGCCCATGTTAATCTTCTCACTTAAAGTATCTTCATGGCTCTCCTCCTGTGTGTAAGCTGGCTCCCTGAGTCAGCCCTGCAGGTGCTGGGCTGTTCTGCAAGAGTTTCTTTTTGCCTTTAAATAAGAGGAAGGGTCACGCTGGTAGTATTGATCCCTCTTTCTCATCAGAGTGTGTCCACAACCATTTCCCGGCTGCTAGAGAGGCCATAAGGACCTTCATGGTGGTCACTGAAGTGCCCTGGGGTGAGAGGCAGCAAGGTGAGGGGCTTACAGCTCCTTCGGT